TCCCCGAGGGGTCCCAGACTACAGGAGGACACAGGCCGGGCTGAGGGACCCCCCTGAGTGCACAAATTTTTGTGCACCGGGCCTCTAGTCTCTCTATATAAAAGGCTAATATGAAAAATGTCCCCTCAGGAGTTCGACTGGGGGAATGGGAGTTCAATCGCTCACTATGATCTGTTTCTGACCACCAGGGGGCAGTGTGGAACATGACACGTGACCAGCCAGCGGTGTGGGGGCACCGAGGGAGTGAGGGTAGGACGAGGCGAGGAGGCAGGGAGGTGAGGAACCTGATCAGCCCTGATTGCCAGCCAGGCCTAGGGACCCTACCCGTGCATGACTTTTGTGCCCTGGGCCTCTGGTATTAATCATAATAATTACACTTGTTCTTTCAGCTTTTCAAAGCTTGTGTATATAGCCCAACTGTTAATGATTGCTGAAGGTGTATAAGATAACTTTTGTATTATCAGTAATACTCTTTTTATGGTTTATCTTCTGAAATTTAGAAGAAATGCTATTGCAAAAGGAAGAAAAGGGATGTATGTATTTTTAAGAGAAGTTAAAAGGAAGTAGTAGTTGGTCCTAATAACTTGGTTATTTCTGAATGAGTAAAAAGAAACAAGCAAGGGAAGTTATAGAAAGTTAGTGGAAAAGGAATATTAAGAAAGGAATTTTATGTATAAATACTAGAACCCAATTATGGAATGTGCTTATCACTAACCCAACAAGGACACTAACTAATTCAAATAGAAGCTAAAATGGCTAAAGTTAATGGTCTTCTATAACTACTGCTAAGGCACATGAAACTTTGCTTATGAAACTCTTACTGCCCTCCTGGCCTCTGGAATTTTTTTAGGTGGTAATTATAATATACAGTATTATGTTCTTACAACTCTTGGCCCCAATTAAACCTTAAGGTTACATCTTCCAATTGCATAATTAGTGGAAATCAGATTAATAACAGCACCTGAGTGTTGCCAATGGGAAGTAGATGGGCCAGATTATGAAAACTGAGAGGTATATAGTGTATCCTCACCCTGTAAGTAAATGTCATACTGATGCCGTTGTAATAACCTGGTTATTATTTAACAGGAAAGGAGGAAAGGGAGGGCTAAGAAATATAGGCATGTCACTTATCCAGCTTTGCCAAAAAGCTGCGTTTAATGCTCTCCAATTCTGTTCCCCACTGATCGCTGGGGTAAGGGACTGGACAAAGGCAGTTTAGACGCATGCCCTGTAAGGGCTGAGTGACGTGGGAAGGTGCTTTTCCTTCAATCACACCTGGAAGCAGGTCAGTGGCCAGAACAGGTGTGGCCACTACAATCTCGAAACCTGAACATTTAAACTTCCAAAGGAGCCACACTCTCTTGGTTTTTACCCTTTCTCTGGTGTCCTGGGCTCCTGGGACTCCTGCTGCAATGGGCTGCGCTGCCTGTGCTCAAGGCCATGTGGGACACCCACAGTGAACTGATAGACTTTAATTAGCTCGGATGCTGAACTATTCCTGGCTGCCACATGGCACAGAAGCTCTGGATGCTGGTCCTGCTTTTGGCTCTGCTGGAACCCCAGCCGCACCTCTTTCAGGACTGGCTTAAGGGGCAGGGGACTTTGTCACTTCACGTAAATAAAGCCTTTTCCACATCGCATTCTCCTGTGCAAATCTTAGAAAATTCCTTTTCTGAAGATATTGCAAGAACCTCAATCCCACTCCCACGAGTGAGGGAGGAATTTTATTCACTGGTAACTAGATGCAAAATATAGAGAAGTGAGACAGCCAGAAAAACCTGGATCATAACAGCTTAGAGGTTAGAAATGATCCAATGTTTTTCTCTTTTTAAACCCTCATCTGAGGATATGTTTTTATTGATTTTTAGAGAGAGAGGAAGGGAGGGAGAAGGAAAAAGAGAAAATCATCAATGTGAGAGAGAAGCATTGATCAGCTGCCTCCTGTATGCATGCTGACCAGATCAAACCTGCAAATTGGGCATGTGCCCTGACCAGGACTTGACCCCGCAGCTCTTCAGTGCATAGCTCCAACCAGCTGAGTCACACTGGCCAGGGCCAGAGTGTTTTTCTTAATAAAGGCCCATAAGACCTGGCGGCCTCCCATTTATCTGCCTTTCTATTTGGAGAAAAATTCAGCTTTGAGTTTCACGCAAGGTTATGGTCTTGCCATCCCCAATAGTCCATTGTTCAGCAAGACAAACACTGACACCAAGACTTGTTAGTCATGAGCCTTCCTAGCACTGTGGGACCACATTATCCAACGAAAGGGTTGGTCATCAATGCATACTTCCAGATTGATTTATAACCAAAAGGGGGGTGTGGAAATGAAAAAGGGCTATATGCTAAACCTGACAAACTCAGGGGCGGCCTGTGTGGTGGCCTTACAAACTCAGAGATCTAAAGTAACCACATAGGATAGTCTGAAATTAAAACTTAAAAAAATTTTGTTTTAATTTATTGATTAAGGTATTACATGTGTGTCCTTATCGCCCTATAGCCCCCCCCCCCATGCCACTCATGCCTCTCACCCCCCCTGGTGTCTGTGTCCATTGGTTAGGCTTATATGCATGCATACAAGTCCTTTGGTTGATCTTTCCCCCTTACTCCCACCCTCCCCTACCTTCCCTCTGAGGTTTGATGCTGCTCTATCTCTGGATCTGTTTTTGTTCATCAGTTTATGTTGTTCATTATATTCCATAAATGAGTGAGATCACATGATATTTATCTTTCTCTGACTGGCTTATTTCGCTTAGCGTAATGCTCTCGAGTTCCATCCATGCTGTTGCAAATGGTAAGAATTCCTTCTTTTAACTAAAAGCAGTTCATGGTGGGTAGTCATGTCATAGGGCAATATTTTTCTCCAACAAAGGCCAATCTTCACCTTACTTGAGCCTGTCTGTTGTCTTTCTCCATCAAGGATAACCACCTGATAAACAAACCTTTGGAATAACAAAGTAATTCCTAACCCCTGCCCGCCAAAGCACAGCCACAGCACCAGAGCAGAGACCACCAATGCCCTCATTGTTATTGTTATCATGTTAATTGTTGACTGTTAACTATCCTGTACCCACTTATGTAAAAGAAAGTGTCTATTCGTTTTACTTTTTATACAATACCCAAGGTTTCCCCCTTTGTTTTCTCCTGCCTCCCTATTCTATCACCAGTGGATTTCACGTAACCCCCTTATGTCTTCTCCTTTGATTGTAATGTATAAAATAAGGTGAATAATTGCCATTCTCTGAAGCATTTTCTTAACCTGTTGAGGTTTTGCTTCCTGGCAATTATACTCAGTTTGGCTCAAAAAAATTCATAAAAATTCTTACAGGTTTGAATATTTCTTACGTCAACATGGCAAGTGGAAGATGGTGCCTTTTACAGAGGTGAGGCGGAGATGAGGGGAAGGGATGAGGATTAGCTGTGGTGGGAAGCTGGTGGAGCAGGTTTTGCAGGAAGGAGGGAATCCGGATTTAGTTTTTGGCTCCATGTGAGGTACCTTTAGATGTCCCAGGAGTTTGGATTAGAGCTTGGCTTTAGGACCTCCTAGAACCTCCAGAACCAGAAAAAGGAAGAACTGGCACCTACTTCATGACAACAAAGTGCAGGCCAGCCTCCTGCCTGATCTCCGGGCGTGCCCCTGCCATGGCAGAGGCTAGAGTCAAGACCAGAAGAGACTTCAGGGGACATTCAGGACATACTTTGAGGAACAGAACTCTGGCCTAGAGAGCAGAATCGAGCAAATTATCTGACACGATTGTAAAGACTCGAAGAGTCTAATGATTTGAGATGACCACGGCTGCAGGATCCTATAGATAAGAAAATGTAAACATTCTTAAGATTCTAAAGATTCCAAGACAAGACTTCCTACTGCCCTGGAAATAAAATTCAAGTTCCTCATGGCAGCCTACCATGGGAGCCTTCAGGGTCTGTCCGGTGGCTGCTGGATTTACATCATCTGGTTCCACTCTAATGTCTGCTCACAATGCTCAGCTCATGGTGACATTTTGTTTCTCAAACACCCAGTCAGTCTCAGGGCCTTTGCATAGCCCTCTGCCCGAAAGGCTTGGCCCGGAGGTTGAGGCCGGCTCATTTTCTGTTCCAGCTCAAAGGCCTGTCCCCTCCAGAAGGAAGTAACCCAGACCACATGAACTGAATTGGCACTTCTCCCCATCCCAGACCCTGCTTTTATTTATTAAATAAGGTACTATATAAGTACTAAACTAATTAATATTTTACACTAGTGCCTGGCATGTAGTAAGTTTTGAATGGTTGTTAAATACATAAAACATTTTCTTCATAGCCTTTTACCACCACCTGAAAGCATCTTACATATTGATCTACATTTTAATTCTGCCTTTCCCACCAGAATGTTCTCTCCATGGGGGCAGGGACTTCTGGCTCACTGATGTATCTCCACTGTCTAACACAGAGTAGGTGCTCAATAAATATTTTGTGAAGTAAATTATTTGAATACAATTTGCTAATCTCTCAAATTTATCTAAAGCGTAGTCAAGGTTTCCAAATTTTCAAGTCTAAAGATCAGAGATTCAGAGGTTCTCAATATAGATTTAGTAAAGTTAAAATAACCAAAATTCAACTGAGTAAATATGAAGATCTAATTGGTTTTAATTAAAAGATTCATGAAACGGGCCCCGTCCGTTCTAGCAACTAGAAAGGTGCAGCAAGAGGCTATACAAATGGCAGGTTTTTATAGGAAGGGTGGGACACGGGCGCTATGGACAGGAGAAAGGGTTATTGGGGCCAGAGACATCTTTTCTTGGGGGGAAGAGACTGAGGGTTTTGCCTCTTCTTTCTTCGGTGCATGGAGAGGCCCCCTGTGACCTCACTGGCGCTTGACCAGAACATGCCAGACTGGCTGATTAAGATTCTGTTTCTGGCAGAGGTTAAAACTGCAATTAGATTAGGTATTAAATCTAGGTTCAGTATCATGGGTTTTTAGCACGAACGATGCCATTTGGGGCCTGTGGTTTTCTCTTTAACAGCAGGAGCTGAGACGCTGCTAGTGGACCCTGGCCTCTCCTCACCCCTCACCTGGAGATGCCCACACGTCTGGTACTGCGGCTGACAGCTGACCTGCCCGGTCCCCGACCTGCTACTTTCCACCAGACATCTTCTGACCTGGGGTGAGTGGGGCCAGAGTGACACTCTTTAAGTTTAAGCTCCCATCATGGATTTTTCTTAGTCTACTTTGGAGGCTGCCAACCCAGCAGGCTGAGTGGTGTGTTCTGGAAATTGCTGAGGGGGTTATTTTGTTTGGGATTGTCCCAGCATTATGGTTCTAGCACCTGACTTGCAGTCTGGGTATGAGTCATGGTGGTCTGCCCTCTGGCCCTCTCCACCCTTCCCCCACTTTTTCCTCCCGGCTTTGCTTGTCTTAGTCTCTCTCTCTTCCATCCTTCAAAGCCACCTGACCCAGCACCTAGAACTGGGCAGAGGGGAAGTCTTGCTTCCTTCCTGCTGTCCCTGGCCTAGGGTTTCCCCGAGTGTACAGGGCAGCCCTGGCTGTGAGTAATGTTAGGGACTTGGTTATGTCACAGACTGCAGAGCAGCAATGTTCTTTGGTCTGCTAGTGCTGTCCCCTTATCCCTTCCCCGCCTCCCATCCTTACCCATCCCTTCGTCCATTCTGTCACCCGGCTCTTTACTCCATCCTCTCTTTCTGACACTATTTACCATATGCTATAGCTGGGTAAGTGTGTGTGTGTGTGTGTGTGTGTGTGTGTGTGTGTGTGTGTCGAATAGGAAGGCAGTCAAGGGAAAATAAAATTGCATGTCTTCCCTGTGATGACTCTTTCTCCCTCTGCTCCATCTCTATCTGTATCTGATTATCATCTGGTTCCACAACCCCCTTTCTTTTGCTTTAAAAAATAATTATTTTGCCCTAACTGGTTTGGCTCAGTAGATAGAATATGAGCCTGCAGGATGAAGGGTGCTGGGTTCAATTCGGTCAAGGGTACATGCCAGGTTGTGAGCTCTGGTCCCCAGTCGGGGACATGCAGGAGGCAGCTGATCGATGGTTCTCTCTCATCATTGATGTTTCTCTCCCTCTCTCTCTCTCTCTCTCTCTCTCTCTCTCAAATCAATACAAATATTTAAAAAATTATTATTTCAGCCCGGCTGGCATGGCTCAGTGGTTGAACATCGACCTATGAACCAGGAGGTCATGGATTGATTCTGGGTCAGGGCACATGCCCCGGTTGTGGGCTTGATCCCCAGTGTGGGTGTGCAGGGGGCAGCCGATCAATGATTCTTTCTCATCATTGATGTTTCTATCTTTCTCTCCCTCTCTCTGGAAAATCAATAAAAATAGATTAAAAAATAATTATTTCAAATACAGAGTCAAGACAGGTTTAGAGGAATTATCATGTTTAGTCATATATGCACAGCTATTTTTTTATATCTTAACATTTTTATCATTTGTATCTTTAGAGAAATAAAATATTCCTGACTGATTTGGGACCTCCTGTGTCCCCTCCCAGATGCCATATAGTTAATATTCTGAGGCATTTTAAAATTATTTTTCTACGTATTTGTGTATCTGTTACCAGAAAGGGGACTGGGCCCGAGCGAGTCTACCTCGGACTGGTGGGTAGTGTGTGGCTTCTTGACTTCATGCAGCAAAGATTTCACAATACAAGTCCAAGTGATTTTGAGAAAATGTTTATTAAAGCTGGGGACAGTGAAACAAAGAAGGGCCTAGGATAGAAGAAGCAACAGGAGCGCCCACTCGGGGCTGCTTTGACTCACTGGAAAGTCAGCGAAAAGGGGACCTTGGGGACAGGGTCAAGGGGTTTGACTGGGATGAGCTGCCTGCTCCTTGCTCCCTTGGTCATAAATTTTGTGGGGTCCCTTAGAGTTTAGGGCAGTGGTTCTCAACCTTCTGGCCCTTTAAATACAGTTCCTCATGTTGTGACCCAACCATAAAATTATTTTCGTTGCTACTTCATAACTGTAATATTGCTACTGTTATAAATCGTAATGTAAATATCTGATATGCAGGATGGTCTTAGGCGACCCCTGTGAAAGGGTCGTTCGACCGCCAACGGGGTCGCGACCCACAGGTTGAGAACCGCTGCTGTAGGGGAAGATGAGGGGAAAGAGAAAGGCATGAGTGTGCTCCCAGGAGGGAGTGCACTGGCTGGGTCCTTTGTCTTGAGGGTTTTAAAGGCTGGGAGTTTAGGAGAGGACCTCAATAGAACACTCATCAGTTTTCTAGCTGTGCCCTTCCAGGGTTGTGGTCTCCAGTGATTGGTCAGCGCCAGGACAGGAGGTCATTAGTTACTGCAGCGGGTCCTGGCATTGCCTGCCTGGTTTTGCTACTTTTCTGGGCCTCGAGCTGAAATACAACTGGCCTAGATGTTGTATTTAGGGAGGAAATGTCAGGGGTCTAAACTGCATGCCCAGCGATGTGCCAGGGGAGGAAACGTCACCCTGGGATGGAGGTCCAGCACCAGTCTTGCCTGTTGCTAGGCAACTGGGGCTTTCTGCCCTGGTGACTGATAGATCCTCCTTTCCCCCAACTGGTGGGCGGAGTATGACGTAACCTGCAGCCCGGAAATACCTGAGTGACTAACCATGTACCTTATGTGGACTATACATTGGACCACCAATCCACACCTGCCAAATACCCTAAGCCCTTGTCCAATATGGACAATTCAGTAAGCCACCAATCACTAAGCCCCCACCCCTTCCCATTCCGCCCCTCAAAAGGCGTGCTCACCCCGGCACGTGCTGCTGTCCTCCCCTGGCGAGGCAGCCCGGCAGGTGCTTCTCCTCTAATAAAGCCTGTAGTCCTGGTTTTCGGCCTCTGTCTGATTTTTCAGTGGCCTTCTGTATCTGGCTGTAAAATTGATTGGCCATTTTGTTCAACTGTCTCAGGTTCCCCATTCCACTTGCCAAGGAATTTTCCTGGCTTCTTATTAACCTGCCTCATATCCACACATGATATTTGGGAAAATGTTTTTTTGTAGGTTTAAAAACTTTATATGTAGGGCAGCACACAGCATAAGCATGTCTTTCTGCAATAGCCCTTTTCTTCAGTTTTTGAGATTTTTCGTATCCATATCTGTGTGTGTGTGGGGGGGTTCATTTATTGGTCATGGAATGGCTTTACTGTGTCTCCATCTGTTATAGGTGGAAGTGGGGTGTCCTCTTCCCCACTGAGTGCTCGAGATGGGGTCCTTACGATATCGCAAGAAAAATAATTTTTTGAAACTCGTGTGGGAGGATGGTGATTTTTATTTGCATGGAATTACACATCCGGGTTTCTAAAGTCCCATTTCCCTTAATCCAGTCCTGGAGGAAGTGGGGCTGGGGAGTCAACAGAGCTAAAAGCAAAGCCAGTGCCCAGTTTCCATTCCGCACTGGCATTGGGTCGGTGTTAGCATTAGGCTAGTTGCAGTCCATTAGCCCCTTGTGTGGGGCCCCCATGGCTGTGGGCTCTGTGGGTGAATGCACGGGGGCCAAGAGAGCAGGCCCTGCAACAGGAGTCCCCAGAGTGCCAGGATAAGAGCGCAAGAGAGAGCGAACTTCTTTGTTTAGGACAGTAAATATTTCAAATCTTTCTCTTCCAGTGGCCACACCTACTCTGGCCAATGACCTGTTCCCAGGTGTGATTGACAGACAGGCACCTTCCCTGTTTCACCCAGACTTTACTGGGCAGGCATCCATTCTCCACCCTGTTTAGCCCTTCCCCCAGCAATCTCCGGGGAATGGACTGGTAGCTTCTGTTAAATTGCAGCTTCCTGGCGAAGCTGCACAAATGGCGTGTCTATAATATTTGGCCTTCTCTTTGCTCCTTTCCTGTTATTTATAACAAAGTTAATAACAACAGTTTCACATCCACTTTCCCTATGGACGTAGGTCGCTTCATTTTTTTTTTTTTTCTCTTAGCGACAACACTGTTTTTCTCTGGTTGAGAATTTCCTCATTTCAAACGCTTGAGTCATGGGGCTTCTGGCTTTAAGGCTCCCTTCTGCTCTCTGCTGGGCTCCAGCCCAGTCTCCCCCAGGAGCTCCTGGCCTCCCTGGAGGTCCCCTCCTCCCCCATCACTCTCCCTCACAGCCAGGGGGATCTTGCAACTGCAGGTCTGTGATTCTTTGCCTGACACTGGTTGCACCTCCAAGCCCATAACTGGATGCCAGTCTTCCTCACCCCGAATTCCCCATGCCCCACACCGCATCTGGCCGACATGACACAGACAGTAATTGGAGTGAAAATGTCCCCATCTCAAAAGCTGGCTTCGGAACTCTCACAGGGCAAGTGTCTTGTCTGATGAAACTATGTGGCTTAGCTGGTTGGTGGCGTGGAAGAGGGGTGGAGGACAGCATCTCGGGAAATGTTTGGCAGGGCAGCTTAATGGTTCTGCATCCAAATGGAACAGAAAAAGTTTGGGAGATGGGATGGAGAGGTGCGAGAGGTTCAGGTTTGAGCTTTGAGGGTGCTGCCTTAGGCTGGGAAACAGTGATGGCCTACATCCCGCTCTGCCCTGCCACTGCATCTCCTAGAGTGACTTCAGCTGTTAGCCAGCCTCTCAGTTTTCCCATCTGGAAACGGAGCTCACAGCTACCTGCCTCTCAGAGCGCAGAACAACCAAATGCGGGATGCGGCTTATTCCAGCTCCTCATCATAAGGTGGGATGGCACATTAGCACCTCCCTCACAGGGTTAATGCGCATCGCGTGGTTAATGGACGATATTGGCAGATAACTGATGTGAGCCAGCTACAGCTTGCTGCAGGCATGGCACCCACACCTCACACAGCCCAAAGTTAGTGTTATTATCTCCATAATGCCTTTCCATAGAGATTCAGTTACACAAGGAGTACATGATTATAAGCTCACTAACAATTTCAAAGTCTACAGAAAAGGAATCACTTTCTTCCTTCTATGCCTTACTCCCTGGTCCTGCCAGTGTTGGCCCTCACCCCCAGCCCTCCATCCCAAGGAGCTATGTTCTAATAGCTCTGTTGCTAATGTTCTCAGTTTTGCTGGCAGAACCAGCCTGGTTCTGTTATTTTCTTTTCAATTTTTTTTATTGATTAAGTTATTTTATATGTGTCCTTATCCCCATGTTACCCTCTATCCCCCTCACTCATGCCCTCACCCCCCTGTTGTCTGTGTCCACTGGTTAGGCCTATATGCTTGCATATAAGTCCTTTGGTTGATCTCTTCCCCTGTTATTTTCTGTATTTCTACAAAGTGAGCCCCACTTTTAGAGAGCTGACAAAAAGCCCCACCCAAGTTCAAGAGGTCACTGGCTGTGTGACTTGGAAGTCACATTCCCCTTTATGCACTGTTATCTCTAAGTCTGAAGTAAATTCTTCTTGCATTTAATTCCATGTTTTCATCAACATGCTCCAACTTCCAGAACAAGGAGTGGTTGCCTGGGGGATCTAGAGAACAAGGATGCAGAGGGGCCCATCTGTTCCAAGTGCTAGTGGTCCCAGGGCATCTGGGCCTCAGCTTCTCCCATCCAGTGTTGATGCCAGTGAGCCGTGTGGCCAGGCCTGGCAGAACGATGAGTGCTGGAGTCTATTTATTGTCTTCACTAGCTGAGTATAGACAGAGGCCCCCAAAAGTTAGTAACCTTGAAGCCCTAGCAAAGGTCAGGGCTGTGTACCACCCAGTTAATCTAGATAATGGTAACTGAAGCAACCTCCCTACCTTTATTCATGTAAATAGCTGAAGCAACCTCCCTACCTTTAATCATGTAAATAGCTGAAGCAAACTCCCTACCTTTAATCATGTAAATCCTTATTGATAAGATAGTCTGCCTATTACTGGAAATTGCCTGTGGGAGAGCTAATCTGTGTGTCATTGAAACCTCCTTACCCTAGGGCTACCCCAGATCAATAAAAGGTTGGAGAGGCCTGAGCATCGGTGGAAGTCCCTCTTCTTGAGTTGGACTTGCCCGCCTGGTCCCCCAATATTTTAAAATTATCTCGTGTCATTTTTCTCTCATTTGTGTGCGGCTCCTCTTTCAGATACTGAACCCTACTCCACGCGGGACGTGGAAGGAAACACTCGACAGATGAGGTTACAGTGAAGACCGAGACAGCTCAACTCACAACCCAGTGGGGTAAACAGATCAGTCACCACTGACTTCCCAGCATGGTCTGGACTGGGCTGGGGAGGTACAGGGAACTGGAACCCAGAGTAAGTGTCCGCCCCAGCCTGGGAGTGGTAGGTGCAGGGAGGAGGACTTCCTGGAGGAAGGCACGTGTGAGTCTGAAGAATGAGTAGAGGAAGATCATAGGTAAGAGCGTTCCCTGCCAAGAAAACAGCCTGTTGGGAGGTCAGAGGGTAGCATGGGGGTGTTTGGAGGAACTCAGGGTTGATAATGATTCCATCACAAAGTGCTGGGCAGGCGGGGGGTGGGGGGGGGGGGAGTTGGTTTCTCATTCAAGGAGGGGCAGGGCTTGGGATGAAAGAGGGAAGCAAACATTCTAGGTGGGAGACAGCTTGTCCTGAGGCTTGAGCAATAGAGACCCAGCAAGGATCTTATAGCTGGAGTGGAATGGGGGCCAGATGACACCGATCTGGACAGCGGTTCTAGGTTTGGGGGTCCTTAGCTGGCAGACTGTGACATTTGAAGTCCTGAGAATGTCTGGACTCACCCGAGAGAGTGAAGAGTGGACCTGGGTCCTAGCTCCTAGGAATCCCAGCATTGGAGGGGAGTGTAGATGAGGGGCAATAAAAGAGCCAGAGGATGAGGGGCTCTGAAGAGAGGAAGCCCACCATCCCCAGGTGGAGCAGAGGTTCTCAGCCAACTCCTTACCAGAATTTGTATTTTACAATACTTTTCAAAAATAATGTGCGGCTAATATCGATTTTGTATTAAAATTGATCTTTTTAGAATTTTGTGCCAGTTATGAAGATCTCTGGAGGTGCTTTCATTTTTGTTACCACAAAGGGGACCTGGCGCCCTAGCTGGCTTGACTTAGTAGATAGAGTGTCAGCCTGCGGAATGAAGGGTCTGGGTTCGATTCTGGTCACATGCTCGGATTGCGGGCTCAGTCCCCAGTTGGGGGTGTGCAGGAGGCAATCGATCAATGATGTTTCTCTCTCTCTCTCTCTCTCTCTCTCTCTCTCTCTCCCTTCCTCTCTGAAATCAATAAAAAATCCTATATAATAAAAGAGAAACATACAAATTAACCGTCCCTCCACTATGCTCACCAGCCAATCAGAGTGAGTATGCAAATTAACCTCATCGCCTCCATGGGGACTGATAGCAGGTAGGAGGCAGCTCCCAGCATGGCCTGCTTGGCAGTCACTGCAGTGTGGAGCAGGCAGGCCCTGCAGAGAGCAGAGAACCACTGGGAGCGGGCCTAAACCGTCAGTAGGACATCCCCTGAGGACTCTCAGATTGGAGAGGGTGCAGGTCAGGCTGAGGGCGCCCCCCCCCCCCCGCATGAATTTGGTGCACCGGGCCCCTAGTGTATATATAAAAGAAAGGGGACCTGGCCCTGAGTAGGTCTGCCTAGGGCCATTTGGTGGTGTGTGGGTTCTTGAATTCGTGCAGTAAAGATTTCACAGTACAAGTGCAGGTGATTTTGAGAGCATGTTTATTAAAGCTGGGACAATGAAACAAGAAAGGGCTGGGGAAAGGAGCCTAGTCTGGGCTGCTTTAGCTCATGAAGACGCCAGACTTTGTGGCTCTTCCACAAAATACCACGTGCAGGCGCGCACGTACAGTGCGATTGAAACTTCGTGGCCTGTGCGCAGATGTTGGTATTTTGTGGAAGAGCCACACTCAAGGGGCCAAAGAGCCTCATTGGCTTGCGAGCCGTGGTTTGCCGAGATGCAGTTTGCCGACCACTGTGCCAGAGAAAAGGGGGCCTTGGGGTCAGGTTCAGGGCTTAGCCCAGAATAAGCTTCCACTGCCCATTGCGTTCCTGGTTGCATGTCTGGTGGGGTCCCTTAGAGTTTAGAAGGTGCAGGTGCGTGCCTGTGGGGGAAAACGGGGGGAAGGGAAGTGCTCCTGGGAGGGAGAGCACACGCTGGGACCTTTGTTTTGAGGGGTTTTAAAGGTTGGTTGTGTTAAGGTAAAAGCATTCAAACATGTAAAGAATTTTTGTGAGTTTATTTGAGCCAGACTATCAACAATTGCTGGGAAGCAGAATCTCAACGGATTGGAATAATGCTCCAGAGAATGGCAGTTTTTCACCTTGTTTTATACATTACAATCAAAGAAGGAGATGTAAGTGGGTTACGTGAAATCCATTGGTGATAGATTAGAGAGGTGGGAGAAAGCAAAGAGCAGTTGGACCTCTGGGATTGGATAAAAAGTAAAATGATACACATACTTAGGTAGGTACAGAAGAGTTAACAGCCAACAATTAACATGATAATAATAACAATAAAGGAATTTGTGGTATCTGTCCTTGCACCCAGGGCATTTGGTTGTGCCCTATGGGGTCTGGAAAAAAGGGAAGTTACAAGTTACCCTGACATTTCAAGAATATGTCATCATAGACAATAGGCTCAGTTAAGGCAAAAAGACAATATGCTCAGTTAAGGTAAAGATTGACTTTGTCAGGGAAGATACCAGCCTAGGACTTGACTACCCAACATAACTGCTTTTAGTTAAAGTTTTAATTTCAGACCATCCTTTTGGTTACTTTAGGTCTTTGAATTTGCAAGACTACCATGCAGGCCTCCCCTGAGTTTGTCAGGTTAGCATGTGGCCCATTTTTTGTCCACAGGTGTTTAGGGGAGGCTTTAGGGGGGAATCTCAATATAATATTCATCAGTTTTATGTTGATGTGCTAAAATGAGATTTATCCCCTAACTTCATCTGGCACTTCATTGGCAAATGGCACTAATTGGATTTCTGCTATCTGTCTCCCTGAGTAGGTGATTTAAACTACTTACCCAGTGGTTGTGGAGAACTGCAAACCATTTGCTCTTAAGTGTCCTTGGTTTAGGGAAGGTGGGATTTCCTAGATGGCTTCTTTAGCTATTTCTGTTTTCCTAGTCTACTTGTCTTGGCTTGCTACCCTGTTTCACTTTCACTCACTATTTTCTGGGCAGTTTTCACTAATATTGTAAATTTTATAAACAGAGTTGAATATTTAAAAAAGTCATAGCTTTGAATTTGGGGACACAATTTGACTGAGTTCCTTTTCAGTTGCCTGAAGAGCAGGTAATCTTGATTCTTTTGCTTATGTAGCACATAAAATCTTTTTGAACAATTTTGTCTCTCCATACATTTTTAAGTTGATGGCAAACTTTCTTTCTGGAGTTTAAATTGTTGCAATTTCTGGTGTATTGTAAATATTGACATTTAAAAATAAAAGGTGTGCCACTGTTTTAAATATATCCAGTGTCATCGTTGAAACCTGAGATCCACTATTAACCATTAAGACATAAGCACCTTTTTAACTTTATATTTTCTTTTTTCTCTTTGAATTTGTACTTTGTTGTGCCCAGATTTCAAGATTCCCAAGGGCCCACCAGGGAGCCAGCCAGTCCGATGCAAAAGTAAAGAGTCCTTCATTTCGAGCTAGTTCGGCTCCCCAACCACACTCACCGATGCAACGGTAAGCCCAGTGGCCGAGAGAGCGAGGCCTGATGGGATTGTGGGTTTTATAGTAAGGGCAGGGGAGGGGACTGTGGGCCCCGCCGATTGGCCAGGCGCGAGTCGGGTCTTGTTACACAGGATGTGGTCATCTCTATGGCACGCACGTCCCTTGATTGTCATTGGTTAGTTTAAAGAAATCCCGGGCGTGGCCAGCAGGGGCCTGGGCTTCCGGGAAGAAGGTACTCTCCTGAGCACATGGCGGCTGCCCCAAAAATGGAGGACCCAGGGCAAGATGGAGGGCGCAGTCCTAGCCCCCCCCAGGGCGAGCTGAGCCCGGGCTCCAGGGGCCAGTCCGGTTGCCGGGGGTCCAGCAGATCGGCCAGTTCCAGCCCAGACAGGAAGTCCACGTCCTTCATCTCATCCCCGGGGGCGCCGGCGATCTCCTCCTCCTCCATCTCCTTGGGCGAGGGCACGCGCCCCGCCGCCACCGCTGCCACGCTGGTCTGGTCCGGGGGTGGCGGGCGGGTGGCGGCCTGCGCCGGGCTCCCGCTGTGGGCTGGGGAGTCAGTGCCCGAGGCCGCCAGCAGCGTGGTCAGGCTGTGCCTCATGGGGCCCGGCGGCCAGCCCACGTAGGCCCCGCGACGACTCGCCCTTTCAACTTCATTCCACCTCCACTGCAGAATTTTATCCAACATATTTTTATACTTAAATAATTTTTAGTAATCATCCTATCATATTTCTGCTCAACAAATATATGTGACCATATGTAAATAAATAGAAATTAAACAAAATTTGTTTCTTGGGACCACTAAGAAATTAACATTATTCTTCTTAAATTGGATTTTTATTATAACTTTTATTTGTACACAAGAGATGAAAACATAAATCATTACATCATTTTATATGCAATCATTAAACACTAGAACAGTGATGGTGAACCTTTTGAGCTTAGCGTGTCAGCATTTTGAAAAACCCTAACTTAACTCTGGTGCAGTGTCACATTATAGATATTTTTTGATATTTGCAACCATAGTAAAACAAAGATTTATATTTTTGATATTTATTTTATATATTTAAATGCCATTTAACAAAGAAAAATCAACCAAAAAAATGAGTTCACGTTCATCTCTGACACGCGTGTCATAGGTTCGCCATCACTGCGCTAGAGGCTCAGTGCAGGAAATTTGTGCATGGGTGCAGTTCCCTAGGCCTGGCCAGCAATTGAAGTGTGAGCGTCTGGTGTGGGAGGGCAGGTCCCAGCTGACCTCTGGGCCCTGGGCAGCACCTGGGCCCCCACTCCTACCTGCTTTGGCTTGGCGCCACCCGCTCACCTGCTCCACCATCCTGCAATGGTACCACTCTCATTGGGGCCTATTGGGGCTGGCAGTGCCTCCACTGCCACCCACTGTCTGTGCTGCATCACCAGTACCCACCATGTTCCGTGCCGCCCCCTGGTGGTCAGCATGCATCATAGCAAACAGTTGAACTCCCGGGCTCCCAGTCGAACTGAGGGGACAATTTGCATTAGGCTTTTATTATCCTACTAGTAGCCCGGTGCATGAAATTCGTGCACTGGGGAAGGGGTGGAGGAGGAAAGGGGCCCCTCAGTCTGGCCTTCACCCTCTCCAATCTGAGACCCCTCAGGGAATGTCCAACTTCCTGTTTGTGCCCACACTTTTAACAGATAACAGCTCCATTGTTATTTATTTCTTATGCTTAAAACCATTGGAATTAGTAGGTATTCAAAGTGTGTATACATTTTGGGGGGACACCTTGTATATCTCTAGTCAGCAGTGAAAGAAACCAACAGCAGATTTGGAACCCCCAGACAGGG